TCTTCTACTCTATTCCTCTCCCCTCTCTCCTTCTCTTACTCGCTCTCCTCTTTCTCCACTGTGCCTCCTGCTCACGCCCTTCCTCCCCGCCACCCACAGGGCCACCCGACCTAAAGCCAGAGGAGATTCCCCCCCAGGCAGAGGGCAGCAGGAGAGAAGGAGAAGAAGTCAGGCTGACCTGCTCTGCCCGCGGCTACCCGGAGCCCAAGCTCACGTGGAGCGAAAAGGGCGACAGTGTAAGGGACCCTCGTCTCCACCCTCCGGGCCGCAGGCACCCTCCCCAAGTTCCCAGCGGACACTGATGCAAGCATTATGTCCCCTCTCCTACTTCCTGAGGGACTGGACGTCACCTCTGCCCTCACCCCAGCCCTGACCCAAGTCTTCACAGTCCACAGAGCCGGTCCCCAGCGGGCAGGGCTGGGTGAGCAGCTCCCTGACCCTGAAGTTGACCAACGCCATGAGCCAACACGGCGTCTTCTGTGAGGCCTCCAACCCGCTCGGGAGCACCCGGCATGTCTTCCACTTCGGCCCTCGTGAGTGACCGCGGGGGTGGGACAGGACATGGGGCAGGTGGAGAGCTGCTGGCCGAACGCCCCTCTGTCTTGCCTCCCAGTGGCCCCCCAGACCTCGCAGGCCGGAGTAGCTGTCATGGCGGTGGCCGTCAGCGTAGGCCTCCTGCTCCTCGTCGTCGCTGCCTTCTATTGCATGAGACGCAAGGGGCGCCCCGGCTGCTGCCGGAAGGGGGAAAAGGCGGCTCCGTGAGTGACCTTGCAACCTCGGAACTGACCTCTGTAACCCAACCCCATCCCCAGGTCTAACTCTGACCTCAGCCCCAAACCCCACCCATACCCAACCTTAATAGCATCCTCTCCTCAACTCCAAACCCAAATACAATGCCATCCCATCTCTAACCTCAAACCTCCTCCATCGCCATCCCCTCCCCCATCTTCATCCCCAGCTACAACAGCCTCACCCAACCCACAATCATCCTCAAGGCCGCCCTCAAGCCCCACTTAACACCATCCCTAATCTCTCCAACCCCAAGCTCATCCCCACCTCCAATTCCAACCCGAATATGACCATCACCAAACCCACATCCAACCCCACCTCCCGTCCCAATCCCCCCCTCATCCCCAAACCCATCCCATCTAACCTTCTCTCCAACCCCGACTATATCCCCATCTTCAACCTCAACATAACCATCCCATCTCCAACCTCCATCCCAACCACAGCCTTAACTCCCTGAACTCTGAGCTCTGACTTCTTCCCCAATCCCAACCACATCCCAGCTCCAACCCATAACCAGCCCCAAACCCAGCTTCAACCACATCCCCATCCCCCAGGCCCCTCCAACCCACCTCATCCCCATTCCTAACACCAAACCCATCCCTATTTCACCTCATCTCCAGCCCCAATCACATGGCCACCCTCAACTCCAGAGCCATCCCTGAGCCATCCCCGAGCCTGCCCCAGGGCTGACCCCCACTACAACACCATCTCCAACTCCACCAGTGTCTTCGACCCTCGCCCCAACTCATCCCTCACCCCAACGCATTATCATCCCCCCCCCATCCCCAACCCATTCCCACCCACCCT